GATCTATCAATCGGCAATGCGCGAACTACAACGATTGCAACGCCGATTAGTGGACCTGAAAAAGGTATGTAAGCAATTAGATTTTTCTACTTACACCATTACACCTCTTTTATTCTTACCTTTTTTCCAATTTCTTTAAGAGTTTCCATTTCTTCTATTCAATTTATTTCTTCCAATTTACATGCTTAACATCAGTTACATCATTTATATCTTTCCCATCTTAATTAATTCTTACTCTCAACTAAATTATATTGTTACCACAGTCGTTGTACTGACAAGGTCCAATTGTGGTAGCGGTAAGAAATGTATACAACTTAATGGACCGAAACATTCCTTACCCAATTTAATAATTCTTTTTCCTCTCCTTCTTTTCTTACCTTTTTCCATCATCCTTTCTTATATTTTTCCATCATCATTCTTACACTTTTCTTTTAACCTTAAATGTATTTAAAGACAAGATAGAAAATGAGGAGAGGGATAAAGAAGAGAGGGAGAACGAAGTGAAAAAAGCGGAAGGGGAGATTTTATGAAATTATTTGTAATTGTTAAGAAATGTTTCAGTTCATTAAGTCGTATACATTTGTTTATGTTTCTAGACTTTACCTTCTAGCATGCTTTTTTTTCGTCTGACCATTTGTGATAGCGGAGCTTCACACCATTCCCACGCATCTAACTCTTTCAGTATTTGCTATAACCGAATTTGCGTCCAATGTTGGTCAGTTTGTGGGAGGTAGTAGCGTTTTTTCCTTGAATTTTTTGATCAGCTGTTGTTCTGTCATCTCTTTTTTCACCGAATTTCATGAATTTCGCCCTTTTTGCTTAACTTATGCGTTTATCATTCACACATATTTTCAAATAGCCATTCAAACGGATTCTTCCACGCACTGGTAGGCTTCCCTGCATTCTTTCGATATTATATAGGTTGTTCTCATTGCTCTCACATTGATTTTTCTTTCTTTAGCATATCTGTCTTGCAAATTAATTACATGACTGTTAAGAACATGGCGGATAGGAGGTGGTACTGATGATTCCCGCTATTACCCACATACACAGTTCGGTTTGTGTTTACAGCTAAGGGATGAAACACAGAGAGTACATCGTTAAATGTCTTTTTATACATGGCACTTAATTCTTCTATTCTGCTATCCCACATGGCCAGCTCAGCTCTTTTTCTTGGTGTACATTGCTTTAAAAATTATTTTCCTTTAAAACACCGGTAACCCTCGTCGATATGTTTTGGTCCTGATGTCCGAATTCTGTTTTCAACAGCTTTGAAGGTCGAAATCCGAGGTGGACTGCTTTGAACTATTGCGATAGGGGATGTTTTGACGTTTTTTTTTTTTGCGAATCCGTTCTTCATTGTGGAAACTGATTCTAATTTTAGCTCTAGCGGAGAAAAAATCGTTAGAATACGGGCAAACAGCTGATTCCTGAATGAAAGAGGGAGATCTGTAAAATCAATTTTCGTTTGTCTGCGAGAGTCGATTTTACTTCGTAACGTTCTGTTTAGTGCTTGCCAAGGCCAGTGTCCTTTCAGGACGAGGTTTTTTAAGAAATGAGTGTGATTTAAGTTTGCGGCAAACCCGCATGCATCTGACTTTTAACATTTCTTGTTTGTTGTCGGAAAAATCTGAACAATTTTTCCATGATCTTGGAATCTTTGTGGGCCGTTGTGTAGGTTTCTCGTGGAAAACGTTCGTTTTTTTCATCTTTGATTCTGATGAAAATTGGCAGCTAGAATGCTACATGGATTTGTTGCTGATGCGGATAAGAAGTATCTAATTTGTGGCTGTGCATGAGATGATTCTATTGATTTTTTTCATTCCTAGCGGCTTCTTCTATTTTGCAGCTAACTTCGTCAAATCTTTTTGATAGTGGAGTTTTCTTATTTTTCCAAAATACATCAATTTATGATCAAAAAAATTGGTCTTTTTTCATGGAATTTTTGCATTTATGCGATGCAGAAAGCGCATATTGACGAGGGGTTGTCTGTGTGTGCGTCTGTACCGATTTTTCATCTCGAGACCTACAAAAGCTACAGGGCTGAAACTTTGTGAACTTAATCTGCGTGCACGTACGGGCCCCCATCCTCAAAATGGGCACTCTTACCCAGTGGTTCCCCCGTGGAGGCTCACCAAAGTTTTTGGTGGGTAAGCTGCTAACTGGAGAACCAGAAAAGCTAGAAAGCTGAAATTTTAAAGGGTTGTTTCCTGATAGTCCTGGCAACCATTATTAATTTTTTAAGCTAGAAACATCTGTCAGAAAAAACAGTGCTATTAGCGACAAAAATCTGCGGGGAACTATGCAAAAAACAAATCTTTGCACGGGCAGTCGCTATGCTAGCCTTTTATCTTGATCATTTTTGCAGTGTTTATCATTGTTTTAGCGTTTGAGGATAACTTCGAAATTTTTTTTGGAATTTAAGACAACTGCGACACGTGAACAATACGATGTCATTTTTGATAAAATGGAAGAGGAACTGAATATTGCTCAGCATATAGCATTTTGGAAACAGGCAATATTGTATGAAGCAAACGTGGAACTCGAGAAAGTCTGTGGTCGAAGCGATAAAGACGAGGAAACCACTGGTTAGCGTGTTCATTCAAGCGTCTCCTATTTTTGTGTAGTTTTTCGTTTTTTGTTATTTTTGCAGTTCGCATGTGAACACAC